TCACTTTGTCTTCTAGTTTTTACTTTAACCTATATAAGCTGTTGTTTGTTTAGTATCTGGTATTTTGTAAAGTACCAGCATATTTTACTTCATTCTTAACAGTTTCATTCCACTCTTTATAATACTTGTTCCACGAGCTTGTTTAACATCTGAATTCTGGATAACTCTCTGGGCACTGCATCATATACTTTTTTAAACTTTTCCCCTGTCATCCGTGTGTTTTGCATTAAAGAGTTAGTACTATACTTCGGCCTCCACACCTTCCAGACACTTCCTTGCATAGTTTCTGATTTCCTTTTCAAAAAACTTGAAAGCTACCTATCTAGTATGCGAAGTTTTTCCTTTCTCCATCTCCAAACAACAAGACTTCTTTCTATAGAGTAGTAGTCTGTTAGTACATCACTAACCAAGTTTCTACTGGGAGGTTAGGTCCAAAGTAGGTTCCTCTCATTTCTGCCTTTACTCTACAGACTAATTACTAATATAGCAGCTGATGATTTTTATACATAGGTATATGACAGAAACCAATCTAAGTCCTTGGCACATTGGCTGTTTCAGTCATCTGCCACGGAGTTAAGCATAGGTGCTATTGTTACCCCAGTAATAACAGGTGAGGAAACAGGACTAAAAGTTCAAGGTTGTACAGCTAATATGTTCCCAAATCAGAAATTTTCTAAATTGAATTATTAATCCCCATACTGGATTGTTTGACAAGATGTTTAATTTCTATGCTGGACGAACTTCTATTGTTTGGAAATTGTGTGGTACCCAGACCACTGGTTGTATACTTACATACTTAAATATGTAATTTGAGATTTGTGGTTCTTGTTAATTTAGTTTTATGTTTTTTTCTCCTTCATTCATTTATTAATCCCTCTATCCATCCCTTTTTTTTTTCCCTCAAGAAAAGGTTTCCTGTAGCTCATGCTGGCATCATTTTCCTATATAGCTGAAGATGTTCTTAAATTCTTGATCTTTCTGACTTGAGGATTATAACTTTCACCATGTTTAATTCTTGTTGACTTATATGAGTATGGACTTTTAGTTCCAACAAATTAATAAGGAAATGATAAATGAATAAAGTACTCTTTTAGGCAGTTTATAGAAAAAGTGAATAGGAAAGGAAAATAGAAAAATACTCATTTTTGCTAATGAAATTTTAAACTACTATATCTGCCCCCTCCAGATAAGATTTCAGTAGGTAAACCAGGCTGGTTTCCACTTAGCCTTCTGGGATTAGATTCCAGGCATATGCCACCATGCCTGGCTTGAAGTAGAGTTTTAATGGTTTTAAATTTTTTCAGGGTACTAGGAATCAAATCGAGGGATTACATATGTTAGGCAAGTGCCCTATCATTGAGCTATACACCCATAACTATTTGAGACCTGTTTTAAAAGTGGAAATATCTCTTTTTTACTCCTTTTGCCTCTTTCTTTCTCCCTTTTGGTCCGGCCCAGCTCGCTCTGGCCCAAAGTATACTGTAGCTGTCCTCAGACACCCATATGAGGGTATCAAATCTTCTTACAGATGGTTGTGAGCCACCATGTGGTTGCTGGGATTTGAACCCATGGCCTCCTGAAGAACAGTCGGTGCTCTTAACTGCTGAGCCATCTTACCAGCCCTCTTTTTAAAACTTGATCTTAGTCAAAAGGCTGAGAAACGATGAAATAGCTCTTAAAAAAAAAAAAGGTCTGATACATGATAAACAAAGAACCAAAAATATTTGTGAAATTCCAGAGAGAGTCATTGTTAACATTAGTAAACATACATAAGTGTATTTAATTGTTGTAGTACCATGTTCTTCAGAAAGTGAGCAGAACCTTAGTTGGTAGGTTGGTAGATGTTCAGTCCTTCAGTACCAATAAAATAACTGACTGAATATTCTGTGAGCATCTTTCTGTGTTAATAAATAATGTTATCCTTAGTAAATGTTATTTAAGGATTTTTCTAAAACAGAACCACTATCCCATTGTTTTTCATAAGAGATTGAAGCTCAGGTTTTCTCCCCTCTGGTTCTTTACTGGTGGATTTTTTTTTCTTTTTTTTTTTTCTTTTTTTTTTTTTCGAGACAAGGTTTCTCTGTGTAGCTCTGGCTGTCCTGGAACTCACTCTGTAGACCAGGCTGGCCTCGAACTCAGAAATCCGCCTGCCTGTGCCTCCCAAGTGCCGGGATTAAAGGTGTGCGCCACCACTGCCCGGCCACTGGTGTTTTTAAAATGTGAAGTAAAACTAGTAAAAGATAAGAGGTCTTCTTTATATTTTTTTCTTATTGCAATCATTCATTTACAGTTTTTTTTTTGTTTTTGTTTTTTGTTTTTTGGGTTTTTTTGGTTTGGTTTGGTTTTCTGAGACAGGGTTTCTCTGTGTAGCCCTGGCTGTCCTGGAACTTACTCTGTAGACCAGGCTGGCCTCAAACTCAGAAATCTGCCTGCCTCTGCCTCCCAAGTGCTGGGATTACAGGCGTGCGCCACCACTGCCCGGCTCTCATTTACAGTTTTTATTTGCTGAATTTTTGTACAGTTGTTTTGCTGGAAAGAATTGAGCTGAATGTGTAGGTGTTGTCATCCCAGTAACTGATTTTTTTTTTTTTGAGACAGAATTTTCTGTAGCCCAGTCCAGCTTCAGGTTTTCTGTGTAGTCAAAGATTACCTTATAGTTCTGAGCCCCTTGTTTTTTCCCAAGTGCTGAGATCACAAAGCATGCACCACCACACCAGGCATGACTCATAGTTTTTGTTTGTTTGTTTGTTTGGTTTTATTTGTGTGTTTGACTGTCCTGAAACTTGATTGTAGATCAGGTTGTGATAGTTTTTGTTAAAGACAGTTACAGTTTCTTTGAGAAGAGTCATTAGGTTCTATCTCTTGCTATTTTTTTAAAAAAATTAATGCATATGTTAAGGATTTTTTTCTAAAACAGAGCAGAAGTTGTATTCCTGACATGCTGGGAATTATACAGATTTTAGAATAAAATTGTCTTCAGATCCCAGATCTACCACTTTTAGTTATGTAAATAGTCTGAGCAAGTCACTTAATATCCTAAGCCTCAGTTTTCTTAGCAGGGAATCAGGGACTGTTACTGGTCTTTTACAGGTGAAATAATTTGACAAGATCTGCACATGTAAAGTACCCAACACAGCTAATGTTTCCCATCTTCTGGAGTTAGACAAGCTGTTCTGCCTTTGCTAGTTTAGTGAAGTCCATGGAGAGAACCTCCATATCAAATAAATGGTCTTATTTGCATAAATGAAATGCCTGGAATTACAGAGGAAATCAGTTATATTGAATACAGTTAAGAAAACATTTAACTTTGATTGCTTATTGTATTGGCTATCTTTTTGGACTTATCTGGGAGAATTAATGGCAGGATAGATTAATGAAAGAAACCTTAGAAAGGAGGAGAAAAAGCTCATTTGCTGGCTTTTGGCTTTTTCTTGAGCTGTGATTTTGTATTTCCAACAGACTCTCAGAAGTTTCCTAATGCAGCACCCTGCCAACAATCTACCTGCCAGGGAATTAAATACCTTTTCTAAGCTAACTGCTTTTCTCACATTGATAATCCATCACTCTTGTGTAAAGCCTCAAGTTTAAATCCACAAATCACATTAAAGTTCTCACTTTTCTACTTTGTTCAGTATCAAATTAGTCATGGACTTCTGTAGAATTGTTTCCAGTCTGAAGAAGGCACCCAAAACCTTGCCACATAGTAGGCAAGTACTACTACTAAGCTACATCTCTATTCCTCATCTTAGAGATTTTTTTCTCTCTCCACACTGTTTCATTTCTCCTGTCCAAATTTAAGATTCTCTTCCTGCATCCTTGTCATTAACAAGCAGAATTCCTCCCTGATGGTTTCTAGCATCCTCTTTTACAAAGTATCTTTTGGGTATTTTGGTTGAGTTGATATGTTCTTACACCTATATCTAAAATGCCACTATAGAGAGATGTGTTCATACTTGTCAACTGATTCTATTAACCAATTTATGTATGTTTTCATTTTTATAAATATATCCTAAGTTTTTTAAGGAAATAAACTACTTCTTCCACTTACTTTATATCTCCTCATAGTGCTAAATACAGTACTTAAGTGTTTTGAAAGATCTTTTTAAAATGATTAATTTGTTTGTTTTACTTATATGAGTACACTGTAGTTGTCTTCAGACACCAGAAGAGGGCATTGGATCCCATTACAGATGGTTGTGAGCCACCATGTGTTTGCTGGGAGTTGAACTCAGGACCTCTGGAATAGCAATCAGTGCTCTTAACCCCGAGCCATCTCTCCAGAAAGATCTTGATAGTAGCCATCTTGAGGTAGTTCTAGTTCCAAAAATAGAAAGGAAAAGTTGACCTATTGTCTGCTGAATTATTACTGTAGGAATTGTTGATGTCATACTAAGCCCCCCCCCCCACCTTTTTTAAAGACAGGGTTTCATTGTAGCTCTGGCTGTCCTGGAACTTGCTCTGTAGACAAGGCTGGCCTTGAACAGACTAAGTCTTTATGTAAAAAACTTACTAGGAATTGTGTATGTATATAAAATTTTCACTAACTTACCACCATAATTTTCCAAATGATGCATTTGAGGTTGTTTTATGGTATATATTATCGTTGGTTAAGAAAACTGCAGATGTGGTCTTTTTCTACTGTGAAGCCCTGTATTTGAACTTATCCCCACTTGTAGCCTAGGGCCTAATGTTACAATAGGTATCTGGTAGACTTTTTTTTTTAAAAAAAAAGTTGTTCTATTTAAAAATTAGCTTGTGTCTTAAAAGGAGATTGTTTACTTTTAAAGACTTGGGAATATATATATGTGATTCTAAATGTAACTTATAAAAACAATTACAGTGAGTAAGCTTTGTAGAAAACAAAGTAGATAATTTTGGTAGGAAATACAGTTTTACAAAGGAGTCTTACAATAATATCTGGATCATTTTAGTAGGCATTAGTAGTTTGATTTATGTTTATGCTTTATCTTTTGGTTGAATGTTTTTACTTGTATTTCTAGGTTAAAACATCAGAATTTTATAGATACTCCCGACAGCTCCGATATGAAGTTGACCAAGCATTGAATTACTTCCAAAATGTTCACCAGCAGCCCTTGTTGGACATGAAGTCAAGCCGTATTCGTTCTGCCAAACCCCAAACTACAGTATTCCGAGGAATGATTGGACATAGCATGGTTAATAGTAAAATACTTCTGTTAAAGAAACCAAGAGTCTGGTGGGAACTAGAGGGCCCCCAAGTACCTCTAAGGCCAGACTGCCTTGCTATTGTCAATAATTTTGTATTCCTGCTAGGTGGAGAAGAACTGGGCCCCGATGGCGAATTCCATGCCTCTTCAAAAGTGTTCAGGTATGATCCAAGACAAAATTCTTGGCTGCGTATGGCAGACATGTCTGTACCCCGCTCAGAATTTGCTGTTGGTGTCATTGGGAAGTTTATTTATGCTGTAGCAGGCAGAACAAGAGATGAAACTTTCTACTCAACAGAAAGATATGATATCACTAATGATAAATGGGAATTTGTAGATCCTTATCCAGTTAACAAATATGGACATGAGGGGACAGTGCTCAATAACAAGTTGTTTATCACTGGAGGAATCACTTCATCTTCCACATCTAAACAGGTGTGTGTGTTTGACCCCAGTAAAGAAGGGACCATAGAACAGCGGACCAGGAGAACTCAAGTAGTCACCAACTGCTGGGAGAATAAGAGCAAGATGAATTACGCCAGATGCTTTCACAAAATGATCTCTTATAATGGCAAGCTTTATGTCTTTGGTGGTGTCTGTGTGATCTTGAGGGCCTCTTTTGAATCTCAGGGCTGCCCTTCCACAGAGGTGTACAACCCAGATACCGATCAGTGGACCATCTTGGCATCCATGCCAATTGGTAGAAGTGGTCATGGTGTGACTGTGCTGGACAAACAGATAATGGTCCTTGGAGGCCTTTGTTATAATGGTCATTACAGTGATTCCATTCTCACCTTTGACCCAGATGAAAATAAGTGGAAAGAAGATGAGTACCCTCGGATGCCCTGCAAGCTGGATGGTTTACAGGTGTGCAACCTACATTTTCCGGACTATGTACTGGATGAGGTTAGACGTTGCAACTGATGACATCTTTCTCCCTTAAAAGGAAAAAGGCAAATAAAGCATTTGTGATACAGTAGTTTAAAAGCATAAAGAAAAACCTCACCAGTTTTACTATCAAAGCCATTGGTCTAATATTGTAAGTTTTCATTCTGTGCTAGCATCTTTCTTTTCCTTTCAGTGGCCTCAGAATCACGCAATAAGTTCATTTGAAGCACTAGCTCTTGAAACTACTTCCAAAAGCAGTTTATACGCTGCTCTACTTACCTGGGAAGTTGATTTTCTGCTTTAAACATTTCTTTCAGATGTTAGTGTAGTATTTGTGCTTCTTGTAAGAGAAGACCCAGTAAGTGTCACTGGATATGATTTCAGTCCCTCTTTATTTGAACTCTTTGGAGATTATTTTAGTCTGCTATATGTTTTGGTTTATTATTTAAAAGTCTAAAACTCTTGACCTTTTTGCATGGCTTTTTGCTGAAAATGCAAAAATTTAAATTTTCTACAAAAGTTTTTTATATCAGAACACTATTTCTAAGCTGCCTTCTCTTATGTGCATTGCGTTAGTGAAAGCATACCCATACTCATATACATCCTATAAATATATAAGGCACACTCCTTTTACGCGTGGTTAGGATTCTATATTTTTAAGCTAGTGCACTTGCACAAACAGTTCGCCATACTTGTTGAAATTTAGATGTAATGTCTTTAATGTACTAATGTTTTTAGAAAGTTAAAATAACTGGAGTCCTCATTGGTATCAAAGTAGTCTTATCTTCAGTCCATACTGGTTCAGTAAAATTTAAACTTATAGTTCTGAAGCATGTATGGATTTGCAAAAACTAATGTTTGGCATTTTGTTTTCAAAACTAAACATTAATATTACATGTCAGTGTATGATTTTTATTGTTTAAAAATGTTTTTCTTTGCAGTCCATTTAATGTTGGTTGTCCTGTTTTAGTGAGAGTCAGAGTGGTCTGTGTCAAGCTCTGACCCTGCATCATGCAAGCACTTTTAAAGAAAGTTAGGTAATACCACAGTTCTAAGTAAAAGCCCCTTAAAAGGAAGTGCAGCTCCCATTGTTTCTCTCCAGGCTGCTGCAGGTGTTGAATGTGGGCCAGCAACTCTTACAGTTTGAGCTCAGTTTTGACTAAGAGGTAAGGAATGAGTTATAATATTATTGGTTATATCTGCCTGATCAGTTAGTACAAAATATTCTGTGGCACTAGAGAGATGACAACCCTCAACATGGGTTTTTACTTTTTGTTTTTTGTTTTTTTAGTTTCTGGAAGCTACTAGCATGAAGGATAGTCACCAGAAAGTCCCAAATAGCTGTTTTAAAGGCATTTATAATAAATGGTTTAGGATTAGCTGTACACTTCAACTCTTTAAATTCGAAGGAAAAAAATAAACAAGAATGATCTGTGAGTAGATCATTCAAAGTGATGTCATTGATGGCCATTTTCTCGTGAGCAGTCTGTATGTGATTAAAGCTTACCCTGGCATAGCTTGCCAGATCTGTGATTTTGGTGCAATATTGCAATGCCTTCTATATGGCTGCTGTTGTATAAATTTTTCTAGTTACTTTGTTTTGTTTTTGCTGCTGGCACCATTGAATATAAAATGGAAGTGTGAAATCATGGAAATGTGAAGATTTTGGTTTCTTCTTCTCAGCCTCTCTCCACACTGCAGTTCATAGTATGAGTAAAGCCTGATTTCCAAAACTGTAAAACCAGAGGTGTTGGAGTTTTAGGAAGTGTCAGGTACACAAGTAGCTTTTAAAAAGGAAAACTTTTTTTTCCTTCAGGAATCAAAATAATGTCTTTTATGTATGGTTCTTCCATTTTCATTAGGTGGCCTTTCATTTATTTCTGATTTCTGAAAATAAAATTTGTTATTTGAGTTTCCCTTAGAATGTGGGTAAAATGTTTTTTATTTTAAAAATAAGTTTATTTTGCTTCTGGAAACTATAAATTAGGTTAGCCGTCTTATTTTTTAATATACTTAGAAGTTTATATGTGTTGCTTTAAATAAAATAATGTCTTCATTATTTTCCTTGATATCTTTTGTTGGAAATGACCAAGAAGAGGACATCAGACAGGGTACCCATATCAAAGGCTTTACACTCCAGTGGCAGTTCTCTGTAATTGCTTTGTTACAACTTCATAGTCCTGTGTAGGTTAACATCTGCACAAACAATTGAATATTCTTGGTCTTCCATTTGAAGATACAAGGCCAAGGTCAACGATTGTTTCAGAAAATTCATGGAATCTTAACTTGAACTAATTCTGGGTTCAGCTTCAAGTAAGTCATGTCTGACTATAATCTTAGCAGTTATCAGTTTTGAGCTTTAAGACTAGTTGCTATTGCTTGGGTTCAGAATGTATGAGGAAACTGTAGTTCTAATTTAGATTATAAATCCACGAATAACTTTACATTCCCTTTTAAAATTATGGTTTAATAGCTGCAAGAGATTTATTTTTGTTATACTAAACTATGGAAATTTTCTCATAGAGTTTTTTCAAGCTTTTCTGTGCTTCATTTGGAACTACTTTGTCTATATACATTATATATGATCAAGATTGTCGTTTTGGAAAAACTCAGTAAGTGATTTGAAACTATCCGGTTTAACTGTTAGGATCTTTAAATGTGTCATCTTTTACTTCACATTTTAAAAACTAGACTTAACAAAAAGTAGCTGATTTTTTTAATGGTGTTTTAACTGGCACTGCTTATTTTTTTTTTTAACATGTCTTTGACCTTCCAAGTTTTGATGTTAAAGAAAATCCTTGCACTACAGGCTTTTCATAAAATACAAGATTCTCACATTGAAGGTTTTGTATTGGAAGAAATGCTACTGGTTTCTAAAGGGAAAGAATTATAGAATGATTAGCTTTTCTTGATAGCTTCTCCTGTGTCCTCCTTATTGCTTTGCTTTATGTGAGTGTTATTCTAATTATGAATACTTACTGAGCCCTTCACATATCTTTTTAAAAGCAGCACCTTTGGACACCTCATTCTGGGAAGCTTGAGAATCACAGTAAAGAACACACATACTTGTGTGGGAAGAAGTAAAATGGAGAGTTTTGTCTTAATTACATGAAACTAAGCTTTAAAATATTTTATAACAAATTATTTGAGCTGCATAATCTAAACATGTCAAACGTTTTGTGGGACTATTTTTATATATGTATATGTGGGTGTAGGTCATAACATTTCAGTTTATAATATAAATTGTTATTTCAGTTTATAAGCTATCTCTCAAAAGAGACTAGCTCTCTTGAGAATACATAATTTAAAGTTTTAGACTGAAGTAAAACAACATAGACAATAGTGTAAATTAGAAATATTTGAGGGCTATACAGCAGTGAAACTGCTAGTGCCAGTTTTCTTGTTTGTCTACCACGTTTTCAGTTCTTTTTGTTTTGTTTTTGTATTCTAAACATTTTGAGAGATCGTGCATTTGTTTAATTACATTTAGAGTCTGTTTGGGAATAAATATCTTCTAAAAAGAGATTTATCTTAAAAATAAAATCCCCTCAAAATTAGTTTCTAAGAGTTTATTACTTCAAATACACTCTAGGCATAGACTGGAATAGATGATTCATGGGAATCCCACCCTTTCCTTCTACCAGTATAACTCCCACTGTTACATGAGTAGCCTTGAGAATGCCAGCAGCTCTGTTCCATCCTAAAACATTTGGGTTTTCTTTTGACTTCTTTGGGAACAGCTGCATTAAAAGTTACTAATCAGTATATCACTAAGGACTGGGTACTTTTTGAAGGAATGTTCTGAAGAGGTGACCAGAAAAGTTCTTTTTCTTTTCTTTTAACCTAACTTGTATATGCCCTGTGCTCTTGGGCATACTTTGTCTGTAGAAAAATATTTTGACCTTTAGGTACCTTTGGGGCCAGTAGTCAAATAATCCTAGGGCCGATATTAAAGTCTTAGAATGATTTAAGGTTTGCCTTTTATACCTGTTTTGAGAGCCTTTACATTTTTTGTCAGGTAATTTTTTTTCCCCAAGCCGTGGATATAATCTATTCAACATGTTTATGCTATCCATTCTGTTTTTAAATTGAAAAAAAGTTAAAAGTGTTTATGAAGAAAAGTTTAAATAAAATATTTTTAATCTTTAAAACTATGTCTTTAACTGATTATTTAGTCTTTTATTTAGTCTTTCATATTCAAGTCACTAATAACTTACTAAGTTATTAAACTTATTTAATAACTTAGTAAGTTATTTAATAACTTACTAAGTTTTTAAACATATTCTTTATTAAAGAGTATGTTTTGTTATGCTTCAACATGCCAAGAAAAGTGATTTCTACCAATATTTTCAGCAGAACATTCAAATGAGAGCATTAGAGTAAAATGATTTATGGAAATGATCTAACAAAGCCAAGTAGTTAAAGGTCTACTAACAAGAGTTTTACAGTTTTACAGAATAGAAACAATAGAACTAAGAAAAAGCATATACAGCCCTCAACTTCAGTTGGTGACTTTTAGGTTTTCCCTGACTTGTTTCTTTTGTTGTTCTTAAAGGTATTTCTTAATACCTTAGGCAAAGGACTTGGGTATGTGTACACACACACATACACTTTCTTTCACATGGACCCCTAAGAAACCTTAGCAGAATTCCTGCAGACCTGAATCACTCAGATCATTTTCCAGCTTTTCTCTACATCACTTCCTGCAGTCTGTTCTTATATAGTTCCTACATTCTGTTATCATCTTTCAGTGTGTTTCTTGTCTCCAACCTCAAACTGTCTTTCCCTTTCCCTGTCAATCCACTTATTTTATGAAGCCCAACTCAAATGCTTTTGTGATGGTTGAAGGAGATGTCTCCTGATGATCTCGGGCATTTGGATACTTGGTCTCAAGGAGAGGCTTAGGTCTTGTTGGAGGAAGTATGTCACTGAGGACAGTCTTTGAAATTTCAAAAGACTTGCCATTTTGAGTGAGTTCTTTCCTGCTTGTGATAGAGATGGAAGCCCTCAGCTCGCAGCTTCTCCATCCACATGCCTGCTGCCTGCTGCCTGCTGCCTGCTGCTTGCTGCTTGCTGCTTATGCTCTGCTATCATGGACTCTAATCCTTGGCACAGTAAGCTCAAAATTCTTCTATCATTTTCTTTAGTCAGGATTTTTTTTTTCAGAGCTGAGGACCGAACCCAGGGCCTTGTACTTGCTAGGCAAGCGGTCTACCACTGAGCTAAATCTCCAACCCCTAGTCATATTTTAACACAGTAATAAAAAGTAACACACCTCTTCCTTTGAAACCTGTATTTCCATCCACTGATTGTGTCTTCTACACACTACATGTTCAGATCTCTGATTTCATTCATTTTGTATAATAGCCCAGTATAGAGTTCTTTCTCCATGCCTAGATCATAGTTTCTTTAAGTATAAATACCTTCTCTCATTACCTCGAATGAAAAGACCACCAGGGCTACCCTGTTACAATGTTCACAGTGAACCCTGAGCTCAGTGTTCTTTGCAGCATGGCAAGTTCCATGTAGGTGAGAAGTTAGAGTTCCCAGAGTTTTAGCTCTGCTTTCTTTATCTACACACTTTCTACACAATCTTAGCTACACCTACAGCTTCCCTTCCAACTTTAATTCTGTATTCTGACAGATCTACATTTCTTGGGAGGCAGAGGTGGATGAATCACT